AACCATATGGCGGCAAGGCTCCTCTTCAATGTCTTGTGTTGCTTGTTTGCTGTTCCTGTTTGATCCTGTTTGCATCCGCTTGCCAACATTGTTTGGGTTAGCACCTGCCTGGGAAACCTTGTAGGGTGGCTCTCCTTTGCATTGCTACGTACGCTTTCTTTGGCACCTGGATCATAGAGCAGCCTAACTCTTCAATCCTGTTTCAAACAAAGAGGATGCAACACGTGTGCGGCCTAATGCAGGCCGGCTCAAACCTTTACAGGGGTTTTGCTACCTGACAGGTATTTGTTGGTAGTTTGGATTGTAGAAATCAACAATGAGTCAAGAGGATTTGAACTCAAGAGAAGCGAAGGCCTTTTAAACAAGTGCCCTTTTTTGGTCCGAAACAACCCCCTAAACAAACTGAAAAGGGCACTTGTCAAAAAGGCTTTCGAACTGGTTTAGGGATAGCTAGCATGCCAGCAAGGTCTGTTCTGAGCTTCTCAGAAAACACATCATAAATGCAATGCAAGTTGATCCTTCCCCTGTAGGTGTTTAAGAGCGGCTTTTGGATGTGGCACTACAAAGCCAGGACCCAAAAGCGCACAATGCTCTGGAGTCCCAGTAAATTAATTGGAAAGTTTTGGCGTGGTAAGTTGAACAGAGCAGAGTACTTGCGAGATCGTGACAGCCGCAACCCTGACCACAAGCCTCCTCCTTGTCGCCAATACCGGGACAAGTCTGGGCGGAAGAGGTTTCAAGGAACCTCGTCGCTGCGCGATACAGGGTCGGGGCCTCAGGGTGACTGGGGTTGGAGGCCACCATGAACAGAACCTAAACCTGTTCATGTCTTAAGGACCTACACCTACCAGTTCGGCCTGAAGATAGCTTCTTTGATTCGTGATCTACTGCCTTCACAAGACCCGGCTCCACATGATGAGACTGTAGATCCTATAGCTGTGTGGGAGTCATGGAGCTGGGGGGACATGTGGGATGACGCGTCCATGCGAGATTTAGTCGCATACTTGTATGGAAGTGCTTCCCTCAGTATTTCCCCAGAATGGAGGAGAGTGCTACCAAGGGAGCTGTAGAGTGGTAGAGTGTGGTAGATGACAGGTTTGCAGCTTTAAGGTGCCAAAAACGATGTATTGCGATCAGTTTGGGTGCCTTTGGGTATGTTTGCCCATTCCATTGTTCCAGTCTCTCACCCTTTGGGTACCCAAAACACTCAGAAACACAACGCAACCATTAAAAACACAACGCAAACGATTAACAACGCAACGCAAACGACTAGAAACACGACGCGTTCTGTAAATCATTTCAAACGACAACCTAAAACACAACGCCAACGCGCAACAAAACAACACAAACGCGCAACTTTTTGACGCCAAATGACGCCACGTGTTTGCCTTCTTTTTTTAGACAGTTTGGAATCTCTGAAGTGGCCTTTGTATGCCTTTGTGACACCCGCCCACCATGCTTCTCCAGAGCCCGAGCCCAATTTGGTGGCAACGTAGTGCCTTCTTCATAAGAAAAGAGCCATGGAGCCACAACGGTTGGTCTCACGCCAATGGTCTTGCCAGTCTTTGCTGTCAGCAGTAGGGAAATTGGATGACAAATCCTTCTTGGACCAACTGCCTGATGACCCGGAAGCACTGGCTGATGTTATCAAGGACGCACCTTCCTCTGTCCGTTGCAGAAAAGACCTGTTAGCACCCCCTCCACGTAAATAGCTGGTTTGTCAGCCCCGCACCGCCTGCAGGAATTGCAGACAGCCAAGGCCACGACTCAGCGCAAGGACGCGCAGGGAGCTGGCAACCTGGTGGCTGCGAAGAGGGAGCCACAGGTTCTCAAGGTGGAGCCATCTCCAGAGGTGGTTGGGGGCATTTTTGATGATCCCTACATGGTTTTAGATGATGCTTAGCAAATCATTGTGCAACAAGACTTTCAATATAGTTCTTTGGGGGCTGAGGGTTTGGTCGACACCTTTTGCGTTAATCGCTCAGCAACGGCAGTTTAAAAGACAAGGACACCACCACAGCGCACGACATGGACGACGCTTCCGTCTCGACCTGGCTTCTCCAGCATTCTGAGACAATTCCTTTTTATGGTATTGACGGTATTGACTCGCCTGCAAAAACAAAGCCTGTGAGTTCACCTACCGGTAGCCCTTCTCACACCACTTCGGCCAGCAAAGGAGTTCTTTGGACTGTTTATGAAACTTTTTTCCACTGCTATATTTTGGAACAGCTTGATGGTGATTATGTTTCAAAGCTATACCTGCCAACCCTCCCGAGACTCCTTTTTCGACGTGTACCCCTGGCTCGGTGACTACCACGCCTTCGTCGCAAGCTGGCCAGCCTCCTGCTGAGAAGGCCATGCTTCTTTCTTCTTGACTCTTAAAGTTGTTCTTGAAGGTTTACCCTGTTTGGGTTTCAAGTTGGCTAGGTTGGCAAGAAGCGTGTTGGATCCGTGGTCCTGAGCTTAACAGAGTACAATCAGTTGAGGGGCAAATGGCGGAGGTTTGTTGAACCCAAGCGTGCCAGTGGGGAGATTGAGTGCCCGCCTGAAATTCATGAACAGTACATGAAGAAGGGCGGTGACAGAGACAAGCTCTGGGAAGCCTTCGTCAAGTGCGGCGGCGATAAGGATTGTCCTGACAGCTGAACTTTGGGATACAACCCCCGCTTCTTTCTAAGCCTTCTTTCCATGCTTGTTAGATGGTTTGTGAGTTTTGGCCTTGGCTTATACATGCTTTCACTATAGGAGAAGTTCAAGAAGAGTGTCACCCTTCTCAAGTCATCGGAGAAGGAGAATGACCTGGAGGAAGAGGGTGGTTACTACACGAGAGCCGAGATGAAAGACATTTTGGGTTACGATAAGCTGCGTGCCTCAAGGCAAACCTAACTTGTTTGATGTGTGTAAACACTTTCTTTACTCGCCCTTCGCTTCTACCATGAACCCTGTACGCAGCCCCGGGAAGATGAGTGTACTACTAAGGAAAAGGCAGGATGACACAGTAGCTTGGTGCGAGAATCCGGAGAACGGCGATGAACTTGTCCTGTCCCTTGCTACAAATATAGATTCTGGTCATAGTGCCAAGAAAGGTTGAGTGACCTTGAAAGTGAAGCGATGCAACAAACAAATTCTGCCCCATATCTAACCTACTGCTTCAGTGTTTAGGTCACTCAACTTTTCTGGGCTTCATGTTGTTGAATGGAAGTGCCGGGGCAAGCCTTCGCTGCAAAGGACCGACTTGGTTGACAAAAACCTGAAGTCCTATTGGTGCAGAACAAGGGTCAAAGGAACGAAAAGAATGCGTCAGAAGGAGTCTCTGACGGAATCTATGGATGCCTCTTGCACCTCCGACCATTTCAGTATGTCGGCTCACGGTGGTATGTCCTTGTCTATGCTGGGCCTGGAAGCTGGCGCAGTCGAGGTAGAAGAGAAAGTTGATGAGGCCTTGGTTTGGGTGGTGGGCATCCCCTTTGAATGATGATCAGTAACCATTTTCTTCCAAATCCAAACTTGCGAGGGATGCACTAAAATGGTTGGGGCCCCTTGGAACATTATATGGATTGGGTTCAAAAAAACCTTACTAAAAATATATCGATCGTTCAATACAGATGCCAGAGGGTGGAAAGATCTATAGCCACCAACACTTAGCTCTGAAAGGAAAAAGGAAGGATACGGTGTTGGTGGCATATTGCAGGAACGACGGGTCGTTTAGGGTGAGATTGAAAAAGACATTTTTTCATACTTACATACATAAAGCCATGTTTCGTGGTTGCCTTTTTCTCCCGCAAGCCTCTTTTTACCTGATAGAGGTGGCCAGCAAAAATTATCTTTGAGGGTCTCTTGTATGGCCTTTCTTGCATGTCTATTCGCAGGTGAAGAGAATGGCCATGCAGATCCAGGAGCTCTTGAATTTGACCGAGAAGATTGACAATGTAATGGATAAGCTCTCAACAGTGGAGGCTGATAAAGCGGATCGCGCCAATGAGATCCAGACTCAGCCTTTTAAGCTTGGGGTGAAATAAACTCAAAAGAACTGATGGCTTGTTGGATCCCAAATCCACCTTGAGCCAAGGACAAAACAGAGACTTGAGAAGTTCCAGCAAAAGGTCAGCCAGCACTATGACAAGATCGTTGACTTCAAAGCCAGGTCTGAGGTTGAGAAGAAGCCATCTGACCAGCTATGCGCCTAGTTTTTTCACGATGTTCCTCTCAATATATAAGGAGGGTTTCTGTGAGGGTATGATGTATCTAAGGCTGGCCGACCAACTCAAACCGATGTTGGTGATTGGGAAGACCTTGCCGGAGCCTCGTGTTTGCTGACCTTCTTTCAAAGAAATTCAGCTCATTTAGGGCTATGGAGTGGGCAGCTTTGGAACGCTCAGCGAGGTGTGGGTCTGAGGCTAACTTTCGAGAGTTTGCCTAACTCAAACCCTTTGCTTCCTCCTGGCCCAGGCCTTTGACTCGCAAGCCCAAGAACAACAAGAATAAGAAAGACCAGGAAGACTGAGCGGCGTATCTGTATGGGGAATACGAAGTCCATCAGTGGGGTCTTGGACTTCGACTGAAAGAACCTGTGTGCACCAGACCATTTTCACACGGGAGTGAATTGGAATCGTAGTTGAAGAAGCTTTGCAGTGCTGTGACAACAAGCACTTGAAGAAAAAAGGTGTTCTTTACAACGTGCAATCGATCACCACTCCTTCTGAATTTAAGTGCAACTGGGGTCACAAGAAAACGTTACTTCAAACGCTGCCCCGAATGTGAAACGAAGCCAGGTTACAAGCCCGAGGCCAAACACACGTCCAAGTTCTTGGCAGAGAGCGTCGGAACTGGGGCGCAAACCTCAGACCAAGCTCTTGGACTGTTTTTGCAACGTGGGTCTCTCGTGCGACTCGTGTATGGTCAAACATGTGGACTCTGACCCAATATCCGGGTTTGTTTCTGGTCTTTCCAATGTGCATTCTGTCCCTGAAGCCTTGTGTCTGTTTGGGCTCTAGTTAGCCATGGATGTGGATGAAACGAACGCTTGGCTAGAGGAACTTCTTGGGTTCAGGGCTGATGGCCCCCGTGCCATGCTGGGGACATGCTGTGATGCGGGCCAAAGACCATCGGCCAGTGAAGGTGAGGTAGGGGCCCCGTGTTTGGATGTTTGGGGAAACATGTTGACTCTGCCACCTTGCAACCTCTTTGTTACTTTGCAAAAATCGCTTCACAGGGAACACTTTCATGGACGACACTATCCATACGACTGGTTGCTGCCACACAGTTGCACTATGCTATGCTTTTGCGGTTGTGTTGGTTGAGTTGGGGGACATGGACTCGTGTTGCCCTAGCTCTAGGTGAACAAAGCCTGGAGCGCTTCAAGCTGTCAGTGAGATGCCAACCACGGTTGCAAGAATTGCTTGTGCTAGGGTTAGGGGCTGACAGAAGGGTGAAGCTGAAGCTGCCTCCCCCATCCGCCACTGCAAGCAAGAGCCTGCAGTGGTGCAAGCAAATGGTGCAAAGCATCCTGGACAAGGGGCCCACTGTTTACAAGATTGGCATGACAGGGAACCCCTTGTTGCGATTTTATAAGCTGCCCTCTGCGGAATCTCCTTCCCCCGGTTATCGCTACGAAAAAGACAAGTTTGAATTCATGTACATTGTTTTTGCGGGGGCGACTTGGGACGAGGCTGGGCTAGTCGAATCGTGTTTGATAGATTTGCACAAAGGCAAGCCAGGAAACAGAAACATCAATCCTGGCGGGGAGGGCAAGCAAGTCTACGACCCACCCTTCTTTACATATTTTGTGTTCAAATCTTTGTTGCGCCCTCCCCCTGATGCTCCCCGGTCTTGACTACAGCAGCTGGTCTTGGAAAAACATGCCACCAAAAGACCTCACCGCTTCCCTCGCTCTCTGCACCAGCTGTTACCCATCCCCGTCGTTTCTCTGAGGTGCCATGCTGCAAAGTCGTCGGACTTGCCAAAGCCCTGGTCAAAGATGGTGTGGGTGCCTCACAGAGCCAGCTCATTGAGGACTTGTCCAAAATAAAAGAGAAGGATGCAGAGGGAAAGACTCATGATGTACTCTCAAAACATGCCCTCACCTTGCCAATCCCCATACGGGAGATTTTCGGCAAACCAGAGCTAGAAGGGTTCCCTCGCCTAAAGCCCATCGACTTCTTACACTACATGGCAGAGTCGGGTCATTTGAACAAGCTGCTGGGAGGAAGGTCCATTGCGGCTAGTGGTAGGATTCTTCTGCAATTTTGGCAGAACTTCAAGGGCATACATCCAGACTTTGAGCTCTGGGACCTGGTAGAGGACTCTGACATCAACCTAGCAGATTGCATCCCAATCCATGCCCACATGGACGGTGGCCGTGGTTACAAGAAGTCGGAGTTTCTTGTGTTGAACTGGTGTTCCATTATTGGGAATGGCACCGGAAGACAGAACAAGAAGGACCCAGGAGTTCATAGATTAAGGAGAAACCCAGACTCCATGCAAACCAGCCTCCTGGGTCACAGCTTCACATCCCACTTTCTGTATGCGGCCATGCCAGCGCATTTCCACAAAAAGAACGAGGTTGCATTTCATTCATTGCTGGCTTCTTTCGCAGAAGACCTACGTGAATGCTTTGATGAGGGTATCATGTGGAATGGACGCTTGCTTAGACTTGTTTTGGTGGGGCTGAAAGGTGATGCAAAAATGCAAACACGTGCGGGTAGGTTCAACAGAAACTCGTCTACTGTGAGGAAAGCTCCATATGATCCCACAAAAGTGAAGCAATCGCTTGGAAGGTGTTGTTGGCTGTGCCCCGCCGGAGACATCCAGGCCCCTTTTGAGGAGATACACCATGAACAACCTGCCTGGTGGCAAATGATGCCGCACTTCTTGGAGCCGCCTTGGGGACCAGGGCAGGAAGGTGGCATGTTGGAATCTTCACTCCAATACACAATGAACCCTGCAAAGTTCTATTTGCATGACCTATTTCACGTCTACCTTGCTGGTGTGGGACAAGACTTTGCCGCGGCGGCGCTGGTCGCAATGCTCCCCCACATGTTCCAATCTCCCGATTCAAACTCTGTTGATGCCCAGATTTCAGTTCTGAATGATGCATTCAAGGCTTGGAGGAAAATGTTCCACGTTGGGTGTCACATCACTGCTTTCAGCAAGACTATGTTGCACTATCCTGATCAAACCAAGCAATTCCCCACGGGGATGTGGTCTAAAGCAAGTGATACCGCCCGAATTATCCAGTTCATTGCCTACGTGTGTAGCCTGTGGCCAGAACTCTGTTCTCAGAACAAGATGCTGGGTTACATTGACATGGCATCTAGGGCTATTGGCAATTCTATGGTGGGGCTTTACGATGCAGACTTATGGATTGAACCTTTGGTAGATTCAGCCAACATTTTTGATGCCCACTTAGGGTTCTTAATAACTTATGGAACAAAACCTTCAACTTCTGTGTGTTTCAACTTTTGCGCTGACCAAGGACCCGCCGCAGACCAGAACCATCGTACAGAGTGGGATGTGTTTTTTTGGCTTGCTACAGCAAGCTAGCCACACTTGCTGTACAAAGTGGCCGGCCTCTATTTGTTTACCGTCCAAAAATCCATTATTTGCATCACCTGTTTCTTGATCTTCATGAGGCCTGGCTCAACGACATCCCAGCACTTAACCCTCTTTCGTTTTCATGCTCCCAAGCAGAAGACTTCATTGGACGATGTTCTTTGCTTTCTAGAAGGGTTGCTGCTGTAAAAGCTGAAATGCGAGTCTTACAACGATGGCTTGCATCGGCCTGGGTGGTTTGGAACGACAACTCGAAAAGCTGAGTTGCGGACAGACTTGTGCTGGCAAGGCTGCAGGGGCGGCCGCAAAAGCTTTGCCTGAGAAGCCTGTAAGTGATTAATTTTCAGGCTACAGAGCCTCAAAGAAATCTCATGAACATCAAGAGTTGGGAAACCTTGAGAATCGAGGAATTGAGTGATATGAGTTTTTGATGGTCGATCAAAAAATGTAGAACGATCAGATTTTGGTAGGTGTTGGGGGGGTCTAGGTATAGATCAATCACTTTATTGTACAATATCCCAATCGAATTTCCCAATCGAAAAAGAATCGCCGCGAAAGCCGCCGCGAAAGCCCCACATAACACCACACCTTCCGCGAAAGCCAGAATGCAGGCCGCGAAAGCTCCGCGAAAGCTTTGCGAAAGCAAACCTGGATTATACAAAAAAGTAATAGGGGTTTTCGAAGCTGCTCATATAAATAGCAATGCATGGACAAGCACGTGGAACGATATGGAACGTGTCCATTTCCACAACGTTCCATGTCACACTCCGTGAAGTAGCAATGGAACATCACCTGTTTGTGGAGGAAAACGGTCTTCCCTATAGGGCCATGCCATCTTCTTCCGTGATTATTTCAGGGAGTGTAGATGTCGAGGGAGGAGACGGTTGGACATGTTCCTTGGCATTTTCAGACCATCTCTCAGGGCAAAACTGTTGCACATGTTCTTTGCCTCCGGAACTTGCCCAAACGAGACATATATAGATTCATATTTAATATTAGATTCAAAATATTATATAGATTCAATTAGATTCAGGGCCATTGTCATAAGATGACAAGTCACAGAATGTTATAAGTCACGGACCATCAAGCTATTTCTGTCACTCGTCATCATAAGAGTTGAGATGCATTCAGATGCCTGACTATGGACTAAGTACAGCAATGTCCAAGGTGGATGGCTCATACCATCACCAATTATACGGATACGTATATAGGGATTATGCCACTCGTAAGTGGCACTTCTTTCGTGCCTGACGATGAGTGGAGTTTGGGCCAGCTGAAGAGCTTGGTCAACCCAGGCAGCTGGAAGTCCACTCGTATACCACTTCTTTCGTCGCATGGAGAGCCAGCTTGGGCCAGCTGGTTACACCCAGGCAGCTCCTGGAAACCCCGACACCACCGACCCCAACACCACCCGAGGTCCAAAGGCACCGCAGACGTGGACGAGGCTCTGGAGGAGGCACCGAGCGCGAAGCGGAGAGTGACCGGGGGCGACCGGGGCAGAGAGAAGAGGTTCTTCCAGGAGCTTTTCCGAAACAGCGTTTTTTTTTGATAAGTAGATTGCCCATCAGCGACGCGCCCATGTTTGGAGATCCAGACCCCAATGTGAAAAAGGCGCGTGCTCACTTTGGCACATCCAGACATTTGGGAGATGGAAGTTTGCTGTTGAGCGGGATCGGTGAAGGGGCTCCTCGGCGGCCATTGCCATGGAAAACGCTTGGGTTTGTCGTGGGCTGGCCGCGCACAGCGCTTGTGTTTGGGGGTACTCTTAGGCCCCTAGCCCAGTAGTATAGTGCTTCTTAGCTACTAAAGGGGGGCTAAAACTTAGCAGCAGATCTAAGGACAGGCAAATAGCAAATTTGCACATATTAGATACACCCTATTCTGTATATATATATATAATATGTCTATATATACATATATACACAATATATTTAAACAGGTGGGGTGTTTATCAATCGTCCTCGAAGACGAGGTGACGGCGGGGTGCCATTTAAAAACGGTCGGGCGACCTCACCCGGGGGCAGGTCATCAGTGGCCACGACGGGCCGTTGCGCATGGCGGACTTCGACTTTGCCGCTTGGGTCATCTTGGGTCCATGAGGGTCAGGGATGACCGTGTTGACCGTTGATGAAAGCACACCTGCATTTGCAGCTTGGCCGCTTGGCCTAGTAAGACTAAGAGACATGTGTTGAGCCATTCTGGTAGAAGGGGTTTGATTAGTGTACATGACGGGATGAGATTGAACATTGCCAACCCCCCTGTTTGTCGCACTCACATTGCGGTGCACATGAAGAGGGGAAGATTGGAGAAGAGGAACGTGGCTAATGAGCCATGAAACCCAGCCAGCACCACCTGGATTTGTTGAAGGCGGAAGCCTGACTTTGGACTCCATCGGGGTGCCACGACCCTGTTTGGGAGAACGCGTACCGAGCATTTCAGAGGCAGAAACCCCTGGCTACACAAAATCCTTTGCTCTCGCAGGTGGCCAGTAGGCCAAAGCAAGGCAAAATCGGTTTATGCACACATAGACAAATGCAGAAAATCATACAACTGACCCATAACATCCCATGGGACTGGAATATATGCCTCCCCATCTTTCCCCCGTTTCAACCACCCCAATGTAATGGGACATGCATGGAACATCTGGAATGTTTGGGTCCAAAAATGCATGCCGTGTTGAAGCGCCGAGGCTGCCCGGCGCTTCCTGGGCGAGCTCCGCAGCCGCGACCGCGCGGATGGGGGTGCGAGGCCGGCTGAGGTCGGGATCGCACACATGCCCCAGCTGGGTGGTTTATGTTCGATATTTTTTTGTGGAAATCCAAATTTTTGAGAGATCTTGAGGTCTGTGCTATCTGAAATCATTGTACATGCTGTTTGACCCTGGAAGGGCAGGCTGTGCAAATAGGTACATTCCCCAGTGGGGCGAGTCGCTACTAAATCATTAATTACATACGGCGTGCATGTACATACAGAGAGAGAGAGAGTAAGTTACTGTATGTTCAAGCAACGTGCCTCACCTGAACATCCACAGACTCCATCCTACGAAGCTCACGCGACTGGCCCATCCTACCAAGATGGATCCCTTTGACCATGTCAGACTATGCCATCCTGCAGGTCCAAACATCATTCAGGAATGGCACATCCATGCACATCCTAAGAGTTTCCGCGCCTTCTCAGGCTGTAAGCAACCGGACCATCGGACAAATTGGCTTTTGGATGACCTCCTTGGCCCCAGCTACTCCCTGCTGTGCAGCAGAGAAGTTTTAGAACTGTTTGACTTTGGCAGCATGGTGTCCTGACTTTGCCTGCCGGATGGTCCCACATGACTCCATGGCAATGGAAGCTGAAGCTGCTCGTCTTGCAGGTTTTCGGAGGCCATGGACATGGTCTTGAAGTACACCTCAACCAAGGCACGAGGTGTTGGGGGAACATCCGATGGCGTGAGTTCAGTCGGGCATCACCGTGCCGGCACGGTGCCGGCACGGCGGAACAAGAGCAGGTTGGGAGCAGGTCAGAGGGAACAGTGAAGGCGGAACAAGAGCACGATCTTGCTGCAAGTTGTCCAGAGGTCTACGTGGGGGTAGCATTTGCATGAGTATGATTAAATCTGTATATCATATCATAGATCTATCTATCTATCTATATATATATTATATATATATATCATACAGTATACACATATATTTTATGTGTAATTTGCTAACTGCTGGATCTTCGCAATCTTAATCTCCTCAAATAGCCCAATGGATCCGCGTCGTGGTGTTGAGTGGGGCTTTGGAGGAAAGGCACCAGTGGTGACCGTTTTCACGATGACAGTGGTGATCGTGGAAGATAAGCATCCCACCTGCATCGGAGGTTTAAGAACCTCGTGGAATGAGGGGCAGTCCAGGTCCGAAGATCAAGTACCTGTTCTGAAAGGCGGGCTTACACGAACCAACAGTGCTTCTTCTGCAAGAGAGCAGCAGAGAAAACACACCAATCACAAACTTACTGCGCACAGATGTTGTTTGTTTGTGTTTCGTCCCCCTTGATAGAACCAGCAGGGCAATGTGTTTTCCCACGGTAGCAAGTTGGAAGAGCTCACCATCTCCAAGCAGGGCGGTATCTGAAGCCCACCTTTGTCCATCACCACGTTTTCAGGACAGAAGCTCGGTCCGGAAGTGGACCGCCTATGCAGCTTGGGCGGATCAGGAAGTCCAGATGGCGGCAATTCCAACCTACCAGCACCTTCGAAGGGGTCACCAATGGAAGCCCCTACACTACTAAGGGACCTCCATTCGACACCCCTTGAAAGTCCATGTATGATATTCTAAGACTATGCTGTGACTGTGCTGTTGCTTCCATCTTCCTTTTCCATGTGATGCCGGTGCCTGGCATCCGGCTTTCACGCCCCGACCGGCACCTTTGTCGGGTCGCACCTCCGAAGGTGGACGTTACGCTGCGACCCTCGGACATGGTCCACGGTCCACGGTCCTGCTGGAGTACCCAGACCATCCATGGGACTGATATGCCTAGGGATCCAAGTACCTTCTCAAAAGGTACTTGGACCCTAAAAACCTACATAACAGTGTCTCCAATCACCTTCTGAGAAGGTACTGGTACTTGGATACCTAGGCTATATGTACCATGCATTTGGGGTGGTGCCGGAGGGGTCAATTGATCGGCAGAGTCCAGTCCCATGGATGGTCTGGGGTTAATATACACCCAAGTACCTCCGACTCGAAGGTGTTGAACCCGACCCTGGCGCCTACATGAGAGTGAGAACAAACACATCACCCTCACAGGCTCACAGGTATGTGGATCCATAGGGGAAGACAAAAAGCATCAGCAACGCCGAGAATCCCACAAGACCTGGCATGGTCAGTGCCTGGTCGTCAAGTGCCTGGGATAGCGTAGCATAACTCAATGGATGGATGGCCTGGTGCATGGTCAGTGCGGCTTGGAACTTCCGGTCCTCAACCGCACCCTCCCGGCCCGAACGAACACCTGCA